GTTGAATCAGCCTACGTCATGATTTTAGGCTCCCATTGCCTCCTATCGCCGATTTTCTGTGTTGTTTTTTTAATCAGTGGGTTCTGCTAGCTTTACCGTTGAGCTGACAGAACCAAATCGAAATCCTTCACATGTGGGAGAAGCGGAAATTATATTTTGGAAATAAATCTCCAAGTATGGGAGAGATGGAAATATATTGAGAATTTGAAGATCATTTGAGGTGCCTGTTCCCCCCGTCGCCGACTTTCCATGTGTTGTTTTATTTTAACACGCTTTCATTAGCTTCATCTGTATGTATGTATGTTTGTTTGTTTGTAACTTTCAAGTTAGGGATCTGTATTTGACAGAATCATTGACATTATTGCTTGATCTGTTCGCGGGCAGATGGCACTGTACGTAACCATCGACATTATTACTTGATCTATTCGCGGGCAGAAGGCGCTGTACGTTAGCTCCTTGATATGATTCGAACTCACTTTACATGTATTTCTTCATTTGAAAAAAATATTTTTTTTATTAACGCGCGCCTGCTGCCTTATTTGTAACCCTTCTTTGCGCGTCAGCTCAACGGTTAAGCTAGCAGAACCCTGATTAAAAAAATCAACACAAAAAATCGATGATAGGGGGAATAGGAGTCTAAAACTATGATGTAGTTTGATTTAACAATATGTTCTTTTGGATAACGTTAACGTTTTTGTTAAGTTAGCAGAACCCACGCGATATCTCCATTAAATGAAGAGCAATAAATTCTTGAATAAAATAAATAATTATCCTAAAATTATGGCCTAAAAATATATATGAAAATTCAAAGTGGTTCTGCTAGCTTGACAGGGATAAAGTAGGCGATTGGAGGTAATAGGAGCCTTATCACTTAATCAATAAATCTCTGTCTCACCCATAGTTAAAGAATATTTTCAAAAAATTATTTTTGCTTCTTCCACGTGTGCCTGAAGTAGGCATCCAAAAATTAATTCAAGCGGTGGGAAGATCTTTCAAAGTTTTAAAACACATGCACAGTGATTCAGATGAATCTAGTGCGGAAAAAGCAATTGTTCAGCAGTTTGTTAATAATTGCTTTGACCATTTTGGTCATAAATTTAATATTCTACAAGCAGAAAGGAAGAAAATGGTGGATTTAGTGAAACATAAATAAACCTTTGAACAAAGCCATTCAATAGATATTTTAAAGAAATATTTATGATGATGAAGAAAAGAGAATTGAAACTTTCTATGGAAGTGTCAATTCTCGTTTCTTCATTATGATTTCCTACCACGTAGTAACTACTACATCCATCAATTTATATTTATAATGATTTGACTTGTATTACCTAATGTTATATTAGAAAAAAAATTTGTTATAAAAAAGTTTTACACACTACAAAGTACTTTCAGTGTCACTATTTTTCGGGTTAGGTTAGGTCTAAAGTGAGTGGATCTATTCGACCCTCCACCGCAACCCGCAAAGGTTTATTGTGGCTCACACCTATTCACACTCGACCAAATAAACCCAGCTTCTTATCGAAGCCGATTAGTTTGTATGGTGAGTGATTTCTCAGGTCAGATGGTAAGAGTACGGATCTGCCGAACTCTAAAAACCTGATTCCGTTCCCAGCGGGGCAGACACAAAGTATATGCTCTGCTGTTTCATCATTTTCCAAACAAAGGCGACACACACCGTCTTCCGACAGTCCGAGTCTCTGCATATGATGATTCAAATGACAGTGGCCTGTCTGTAAACCAACAAATACTGTAAACCAACAACTGTTTGATATCAAGCTTCGAAGGGTGAATAAACGCCTTGGAGTAAGCCAATACCGGAAGATTCTGCCATAAGTCCATAAATCTTCTTGCCATGCTGGTGTTCAATCTTTGTTTGGCAAAGCCTAAAGCGATGCCAATGACAGGTTCTGGTCCGATGAAGTTGCTTGCAGTACCCTCCTTTGCAAGGGAGTCAACAGCTTCATTGCCTTCCAGGCCAGTATGGCTAGGAGTCCAGACCAGAGACAATATGTTAAGTCTTCCTATCGAGGAGAGTCGTTTTTGGCAATTTGCTACCAATTTAGACTTTGCTCGGTAGGAGCCATATGAGCCTCCAACGCCGGTTGACTTTCCGAGAATATTTTTATTGAGTTGTGTATGAAGTTGGATTTATCTAATCTCTCCGCACACAATTCAATTTTTTGGGTTCGAAGGCCGTGGGTTTTTGAAATTATACCAAAAGATATACCAAAATCTCGCGAAAATTAAATTCCTAAATCAAAATGAAACATCCATGTCTCAGCCACTTGAATAGCTTTTAAATGTTGAACCTTTGTATATAGACCACAAACTACTTACTTACTTAGTAGGTGGTTTGTGATATAGACCGTTAAACTCTCATCTTGACCACGCGCCCTCCAGTGCTCTCTAACGGCCTCGCCGATGATGGTAGCCTTCATTGCAGATCAGATCAATCATAGAACCAGTAGCGTACCTACTAAGGGGCTAGGCGGGGCAGTGCCCCGGGGCCCTCAAGTTCAGGGGGCCCTCGACCTTACCAGAAAATTTCAATCGAACTCAACTTTTGAAATTTTCTCCCATTTTCAAAATAAATATGACAAGTGGCAACACGACTTTATTCATGGCAACTCAGTTTCAGATAAATTCGAAAGTTATAAAAAGGTAATTCCCCTAAATTATTTCTGAGGGTTGACAGTGTTATCAATTTGACGGATATCAATATGTGCGTTATTATTTATCAATGTGCGTTTTTGTGATTCGCGATTGTCAACTCAAGTCAAGATTTTTTTTCGAGAATGGTTAAAAAGTTAATGTTGTATCGGGAGTAAGTAAGTAAGCTTATGTCAATATTTTTTTGCACTGGTCTAAACAACGGTTCAATTTTATTTGATTTTAGTACCACTCATATTGATGTCCGTTACGTAAATAAATCTATAGATTTCGGCTACTCATTGTATAGCGCAAAATACCGTGAAAAATATAAATCACCTGCAATAGGTACATTAATTCAGGCGCGAGGAGATTGTTTCTGGTCTACACCGTGGTAACACTGTCGGCGATAAAATGTTTGCCGGAGATTCTCCAACGATGTCTTGTATCGTATATCGTATCATTACGTTTCTCCCTTCTTTTACTTTTAACGTTGTCAGTGCACAGTGAGTACCTACTTGAGCACAATCTTATATAAATATTGCATGTATAAATTAGAAAACCTAAGTTATGGAAAAAAAAAGAAATCCAGTGGTGCATTTAAACGCAAATAACGTCAAGAAAGAGAAGAAGGTAAACAAAAATTGCCCAAGATTGACAAGTTTTTTAGTCAGGCTTCTGGAAGTACTTCTGGACAAAATATTTCTATTGATAGTGACTCAAATAATGTGGTAACTGCAGTGTTGGTTGAGAATCCTACTGAAGAAGACGCAACAATTATTGCAGTTGAAGATACATCCGCCGCCGATTAGGTGAACGTGGATGATGTTTGTATGGCACATAAGAACATAAAAACGAAGTATTTGGAGAAACCACAGACCTATAAATTTTTCGAAAATGTGTACGATAAATCGTCTTATGACTTGGGAAACTTCACGAAAAAAATACTAAATGATAATGAAAGACGTCAAATTTTTGATATGGGACCTTTACAACACCAACATTTTTATTACATGTTGATGAAGCAACTTTATTACAAAAGTGTGACGAATTCCAAAGAAAATATTCAGATATAATAGGCCTTATCTTTTCACTTCAATTTGTTAATATTTACCACCTTCTTGTACCTTGGTTAACTGAAGCATGGACTGTTCACCAATTATGTAAGGAAATAATGAATAAATATGGAGTGCTAGAATGCGATCTAACGGAAGTATTTATTATACTTTAAAATTCCTGTCACTTCTGCAGCAGCTGAAAGGTCATTCAGCAAATAAAAAATAATGAAAAATCATTTAAAGAAATAGTATGGGCCAAACTCGACTCCGACATTTATCGCTAATATCAATTGAGAACAAATTAGGCTTCAGATATGGATGCCTGGGATAATTTATGTCAACTTTTTCACATATATATTTCTGAAAACTCGAAAATTTTCATAAAAAGTAAAAGAACGTTTACCGAACTCAATAAATTTACACAGATTTCATTATTCTATGACCGTTATCCAAGGCGTACCTATTGAGCGATACCATAGACACAAGTATTTGCTAAAATTTAGCACAATTATAATGTTTTAATTAAGCGTAATACTTGTGCAGTGCTGCTCCAAGGCAAAAAAATTTTGTACGAAAATAACAGATAAAAATGTATGCTTTTCGCTATAATTGTATAGCATCAAGTATAGCCACCACTGTCATCAGAATAATTGACAAGTGACAGCTTCCCGCATGATGCAAAGATGGAATAGAGTGATTAGCGCCTGCGCAGACACTCCATCGTATGTGATATGTGAATATTCTGAAGTAGTTATTACAAATATATTGATTTGATTACTATTTGCATAAATATTAATTGAAAATTCTGCATTCACTAATCTAGCTTTAGCTTATATTATGTATCGAATCAAATACAACACAAAGTCTCCTAAAACAAAAATCAAGAGGGGTGAGGTGAACTACCGACTACCATTCATAAATATTTATTTGAAATTCGTCTTTTCCCACTATGGATTTATTTTTCTTTTAGCGTCAGCGGTTTTCGACAGATTTGACAATTGAGTGTTGAGTGATTTGTGCTCTGTGATCGTGATCTATGACAGACGGACACGCGGGAAAACGATTATGGTGCACGCGGGACACGCCTATCATAATGAGACGGAAGACAGAGATAGACAGATTACTCGACTATGCAAATCAATGCAAAACCAAATGAATTCAAAATATATGCTTTTCGTTAATGTGGTATGCATGTACGAAAAAATATTGAATTGTATAGCAATTCGTACAATTGTATAGCCAGGAGCAGCCCTGCTTGTGCTACTGACATTCTGCCTGACCAAAATTCTGACGTGCTGTCACCTGCCACTAATCCCGACCCGGTACCCGGCTTTTTCAATAGTTGTTTCTATAGTAAATGAATGGTGACGAAAACAATTTTTTCAATTAAAACTTAATTGGTGACTAAAATGAGTGGAGCAGTTTATGGAGGCGGTAAGTCAAAGTGTATTTTGAACTTGTTTTGAAATACCTAACCCAACATTGTAGATGAAGTTGGAGCTTTGGTCTTTGATATTGGACACAATACAGTAAGAGCCGGTTATGCAGGAGAAGACAGTCCAAAAGTGGATATACCTTCAACAGTGGGAGTTTGGTTAGACTCTGAAGATGATGTTACACAAACTCGTTACAACATCGGTCTTCTGGCAATACATGTTTGGAGACCTGGTAAAATCATTTTCGAATGAAAGTCTAAAAGTGAATTTATGCATACTCAATTAGCAAGTTGCAAGTACAGGTATGACTTATCAATCAGCAAGGAACAAGTATCAATAACAATGCTATTTATGCATTCCTAATTAAAAAAAACTATAGGCAAGTGCTTCAGCTGTTAATTTTTTCTAAAAAAAGGAAAATCATAATATCGAATATTGTATGTGTATATTTTTATCATCACTTTAAGAATTTCTAGAATCTGAGACGATCAAAATGGAGAATGACCTGTAAATTACTGAAATATTTCACACACACTCCTTGTTTTGAAATTTGAAAATTATTAGGTTAGATATCACTCATTTCATTTGTCTGTGTTCTGAAATGAGCCGATGGACTATCTTGCGCAATAGATGCACGCTTGTGAAAAAATTTGTACAAATAAAAAAAGAAAGTTAAAAGATGCCCAAATTCTACTTGTAACTTGATAATTGTTAATTTTTCTGCATAAACATATGCATTGGAAAATGTGAAGTATGAGATATAACTGATCATTGTTTCTTCTTCATTATTTCTGCCTGTCAATCTTATGAACATAAATTCACCTTATAGGTGGATTCATGCACCCAGTTGTGAGTCGCAGGTTGCAAGAAATCGTAAACAGTTTATCATTGATTTTCAGTGGAAACATTTATGCAGGAAGATAGATGATTGTCTCGCTCACTCAATATCTGTGTGAATGAGAAAGTTTTCAAGTAGTAACAAAAAGAAACCATGAGTTCTTGAGACTTGAAACCTGTGACATACAACTTAAGACTGAGTACATGAATCCAACCTCATGCCATAAGTAGCAAATGGTAAGAATGAAATTGTAAGCAGTATCATTAATTTTCAGAGGAAACATTCACTCATGAACATAGATAGTATCTTATAAATACTCACTCATTATATCTTCGTGCACAAGTTGTAAGTTGTAGCACTTAAAACTTGCAACATATGACTTCAGATTGGTGCATGAATCCCTCCTAGAATGAACCGGTCTTAGACTCGGAAATACTCCCTAAAATTTTGTGATACAGGCATAACTAAACCACTTGCCCTTTGGTTCACATCCAGCATAAGAAATATGTCGTAACTCAGGGATCCAGCATTCCATTTATTCATTCATTTATTTATTTTTACTTTTTACTTGTCTGAACTAAATTGCATTCTGAGCTAATTTCCGAACTAGTCTAATTCTAATCTGCTTCTCCAACTCGACGTCCTCGTAATTATAGCCCAATTGAACGCTCTTGTATTCTCTTAAAATCCTTCGTGTTCACTGGATAATCCTATGGCGACAATTGATATCACGATACAGAAATCTTATCACTACCTTCAGAGGTGGTACGTTTGATGGTCAAAGACGTAATAGTATTATAAATTGTTCCCTTATGAAAATTGAAAACTTTCATTTTTTAGAGATGGAGCTGACAACTTTTTTGAAGGAGGGAATGGTAGATAACTGGGATATGTTTGAAAATTTTTTGGATTATATTTACAATCATGCTCTTAGAGCTATACCGAAGGACCATCCAATATTGTTGACAGAACCGCCATGGATAACACCTCCTAAACGAGAAGAAATGGCAGAATTGATGTTCGAGAAATATAGTGTTCCAGCTGTTTATTTGGCTAAAAATGCAAGTTTGGCAGCATTTGCAAATGGGCGACCAACTTGTTTGGTTCTTGATAGTGGTGCTACACATACTTCAGCTGTACCAGTACATGATGGGTGAGTACTCAATAGTAAAGCATGGTTCGGGCATGAGTCCAAGAGGTTTTTTACAACTGTCAAATCATGTTCTTCCTGTGTATTTTGTGTATAAGACAAACAGTCTAGGATGAAGAGATAAGCTCAAGGTAAAATTTGATGGGAAAAAATAAGTGTATTCAAGTAAAACTTTATTGTGAGATTATCACTGAACAGTTAATAAAACCAGAACACGTGTTTCACTGTACAATAACTTCCTCAGGTGTGTTCATACTGGGTTCTACCTAATTAGTGCTTTATATAACATCACACTTTGAATCATATGACATTCTATCTACTCAATGACTAATAATGTCTTGTGAAATCAGTGGCATTTTGGCATGTTGACCGAATATGATTGGACCACGTGAAGTCTGAAGTGATGATAACACCCTGATCTACATATGAGGTAACTGTAGTTTGTAGATGATTACATTGTAGTGCTAAGGGAGACGGATTATTTTTCCCAATATGTAAGACGACACATTTAGCAATATTCAAAGAAAGTAGATATTCATTTCACCATTTGGAAATTGAGTTCAAGTTTTTCTGAAGGTGTTGATGTGTTAGTGTCATTAGCATATAATGCGGCTCATATAGTGTGTTAAATCACTTGAGACGCTCCATTGAAAAGAGCAGTGTCAAATTAAATTGGTGTGCCCACTTCTAATCTGCGATTCATGAACTTCCCTATAATGAAAAATGTTTTCAAAACTAGAAAATTATATGTGATATTTCTTTTGACGAGATAGTGATATAGTAATGATTTGAAGATAACGCCTTTGATGGCATTATATTTTATATTTAGTAGCGTTTGACCAATTTTTATGATAACTTTTATGTTGGAACTACCCTGATCCACATTTTACTTGCCGAATGAGCATCTTTCTCTCTCTGCTTTACAGGAACACCTTCTGTGGGGATAATAATAATAATAGTATTATTAACTCGATTTTTATTGAGGATGAATAACAAATAATAAATGAATAAATAATTATACTGATGGCGAAGTGTAGCTGAGGCTATTTTAGTTTACTATCAGAGGCGGTTTAGAGTACTAAAATTATATTTTCGTGACCAACAGAATAGATCACATTGTTTCGCATTTTGTGGGTATCAGTTTTTTCCATTATCAATTCATGAAGTGTTTGCATGTTTTCAAAATGTCGTTAATTAAATTATTTTACCTATGTAATGCAATCTGTTTTCATTTCCATCACCACACTTAGGCACTTGAAATGGTTTTTGAATCACTCCTATCTCTGGTAAAAATTATAAAATATTTTTAAAAACCCTAGCTATAACTGTAACTGTAGCTATAACATATTAGATACATATTTGAAAAATAAAAAACATGAAACATGTCGTTTTGTGTTGGTGTTGTCTCGGAAATTTTATAAACTTCATTCATATCTTACTTATTCTCATCAGCAGAAAAATCTATTGTATATATTTCAGGTATGTTTTGACCCAAGCTGTTGTCAAATCTCCCATGGGAGGTGATTATTTGAGTTCCCAATGCCGGGCACATTTGACTGAGAGAGGTATTGAAGTAGTGCCTCCAAGTATGGTGGCATCGAAGGAATTAACCAAGCCTGACGAATCTCCTATTTGGAAGCGTCGTAATGTGCCAGACAATTTAACAGAATCTTGGTATAATTTCATGATCAAGGTAAGAAAGTTCATAATAATATAACAAAGAATTCCATTCTATCACCCATATTCTGAAATCCATTCTAGTACTCATCAAAAACATTCCTATATTGTCTAAACAGGTGCAAAACCTACTTACAAGATAGCTTATACAACAATCAATGGCGAATACCAATGATAATAAATCTAAAGAAATGAACTTTAAACGTTCAAGCCAGTCTCGAATATACCTATACACTGACGCCTATCAGAAAACAACTACTCCACTGGCTTATATTATGAAAGGCGTTGGATTATATACGACAGGCGTCCCGTGCAGGAATATTCACAGAAAATTTCCTACATATGCAATTGGCAATACAACTGAAAGAGTCGAACTTCAATTTTGGAACGGAAACCTTCAGACCGGTTTCGGGCTCATTAGTCACTCTTCAGAGCAAAATCATGGCCATCATCGACCTACAATGATATTCGATAATTAAAAATCGGAATTCTTTCAGAGTATTTAATTACTCTTCCTTATTTGGAGCGAACGACAAAATTTCACTCCATCTAGTGCACGAAATACTAACCAACTGCATATCCGAAATTTGCCCGATTCCTCTGAATCCTGAACCTACTGTGTAGGTATATTCGAGACTGGGTTGAACGTTTAAAGTCAATTTCTTTAGATTTGTTTACTGTCAGTCTTTAAGCATAGCCCACTGACTAATAAGAAAACCAATGATAATAATAATAATGGGTTTTATTGACGTGAAAATGAAAAATATTGTACCAATCAAAATGCAGGATTCAAAAGGCGATACAGAAATCAACGAAATCTGAACAGTTCCTTGTTCTTCCATCCAACAGTTGAAAGTATAATATGAAAAATCAACTCAAGATACTGTTGTGTTACTGGCATCCTCTTCCTGGCAAAAAAAGGTACCAATGCTCCATTTGGCAACACTTCTCGTCTCCATTCCTTATTCAAATGCTCACAATTGATTGCAACTTTTGCAGATGCATATATGTCGGGTCTTTTAGAAGGATGGGCCTCACATTCAGCACCTGGAAGATTTGTTTGTAAAAAGTTTCTTAGTTCATCGAATTTAGTATTTGGCTTCAGCCTAGTTACATGGAGAGAAACAAATCTTGGAACTGTTCCCACCACACATTCTTGTTCGGTTCAACCTACCAGGCATCTGCGTTTTCTTCTTTGTTGAACTTGGTGCCATCCTTCACTGTCTACATGTTTTTTATCGATAGGATTTACTTTTTGAATCATCATGGTTGTGGTAGACTTTGCTTCTAAGGTGGCAGAACTAATTCGTTTTGATATAATTTGATGTTTTTGTCCTATTTCTTGATTATGACCATTATTGTGTTTACAATGATTTTGAGTTTGATTTGGACTCTTGATTTAATAGCACTAGATCTTACGGTTAATATACCTTAAATCTTTACAAATGGACCTTAAACCTTTTTCTGATCGGTGTAAGATGAATTATATGGATGTCGATGTGGCAAAATGTAAAAGTATTTCCTTTTCAAAGTCATTAAACCTTTATACAGCTGGTTATAGTATTGCAGGGAAGAAGTTGGTCCGTGTACAATCTATACGAGATCTGGGTGTAATGATGGATGACAAGATGGACTTTCATTTACAGTATGAACACATATCTAACAAAGCGATGAAAATGTTAGGATTCATATGCAGATCAACAAAAGTTTTTACCAACATTTTTTCTATTAAAATACTATACTTTGCATTGGTTAGATCAGTGAATGAGTATTGCACTTGTATCTGGTCTCCAACATACTTCAATCACAGTTATAATATTGAGAAAGTTCAGAATAAATTTCCTAGATATGTTGCCTACAAAATGAACATGCCAGCTAGAAGTCATTCGCTTTTTGAAATTCGCTCTACTATTGGATTGCCCAAACTCAGTACAAGACGGGCACATGCAGACATAATATTCCTACATAAATTGTTGAACAACGAAATTAATTGCCCAACTCTTCTCTGTCAAGTCAATCTGCATGTTCCCTCGAGAAGGACACGTAACAACCAAACTTTCAGTCTCAACTTTCATAGGTGTAATTATGGAAAACATTCTCCTTTGTCCAGAATTCAATTGAATGCCAATGGGACCAATATTGATTTTTTTCATATCTCTCAGAGCACTCTTAGATATACTCTGCGTGGTTTAGATTTATAAGACTATTTTTTTTAAATCACAATTTTATTTTAATTTTCTCTATGTAGGTTGATTTATTAGATATATAGGTACTAGAATAGTTATAGTTAACATTCTAAGGTTACTATATTGTATAAAAATTGGGGGTTACCGTTGAATAAATAAATAAATGTTGAGGTTTCTACAGTATTTGCATAAATATAATATCATATGCCAATTAATAAAATCCTGAAATATTCTCGGTCTGAATACATTCAGTTCAGGTTTTCTTCTACAAATATCGATGAAATTTTGGAGTGATTTAAATTTGAGTTAAATTTTCACTTTATCACACTACCAACCCCTTTGAGTATAGAAAAAAGCTGTTTGTTAAAATATTTTGTTTAGGAAACTGTCTTATACACTGCTACAAAACATATAAAAGCAATATATAGGGAAATAATCTACATAGTTCTTTTGTACCCTTATTCCATTATCATTTACTGAAGTTATAATGAAACGAGCAATGGTGTGGATAATATTTTGTCTTTTAATATGAATAAAATCAAAATTATAATTTCAAATTTAGGTATGGTAATTTTAAAGCCAAATTGAAGAAGTAGTCTGGGGTTTCTGTGGCTAGCAACTTCACTGTCTTGTTTTTAATATTATTTAGATTTTACCTTGAAAAATATGAAATAAATTTCGTTATTGCTATATTGTGACATCTTTTTTTATTCAGGAAGTAATGCAAGATTTTCAAGCAACAGCTTTACAAGTTTGTGATACCTCGTATGATGAAGAAGTTGTCAAAACAATGCCTGCAATTCATTATGAATTTCCCAATGGATACCACCGAGATTTTGGAATTGATAGATTCAGAATACCCGAACCACTCTTTAATCCAACTACTGGCGTAAAAGCAGGCATACAACCGATTTTAGGCGTAGGTTCACTTGTTACAACAAGTGTTGGAATGTGTGATATAGATATAAGACCGGTAAGTATATAGAAAATGATTTCGCCATAAATCATTATGTCGGCTAATAGTTAAGTTCAAAAGTTCATAAACGCTCCACTATTGATTGTTTTCCTACATTGTCATTGATCTGAAACTGAGTTTGTAATAATGTTATAGGATGTCAGCTAACGGTTGGAAGCAATGTCTTGATATTTTCATTATTGTCATAAATACAAAATGATAGTAGAAGTTTCGCTTCATTTTTGAATCGAGGGCTTTATTACCAAAATATTTTCATACACTCACAATTATGCTTAATTAATCTTTATAAAATAGTAAAATTTGTATTGGTTCAATCAATTAATGTTGAAGTGTTCCACATGAAATTAGGAATGTGGTAAACTGTTATTTAGGTCAATAGTAATCAGATGAAAATTCAGATATTTTATAATTTGTTTTTTAAGGCTATGTACGGGAGCGTTGTTGTGACAGGTGGAAATTCAAGTCTTCAAGGTTTCACTGAGAGACTTAACAGGGATTTAGCTGCAAAAACACCTCCGGTAAGTGAGCTTGTTCTCGTTTATAAAATATCCCAATTATTTGGAACCTTCTCTAACATTTAACAACAAGCATTGCCATCCACATTCAAAGAATGCACATTCATTTAACAACCCATATATTTTAAAAGGTAGTTAGTGTCAATTTCAAGTCGCTACTAATATCGTTTCAATTTTATAAGTGTAGAGTTGGGAACAAGGCATTTTTCAAAATCCCACTGGGATATCGTCCCAGTTGATAAATATGACACCCTTAAGGAAATTAACAATTGATCAAAACCCAACACCTGCAAATTCCAAATTTTTGCTTGAGTTTTTTTCAAATTTACCATTTTTGTCGTCCTGTGACCACTAGAGGTAAATGAATACAAGATGTAGAGGAAATGAATAAATAGTGTACTTTTATTATTTCTCGATAACTAGAGATATATTTGAGAGTGGTAATAAATACAAAATAATTTTTATAATTAATAGAAACTCAAATGATAATGAATAAACTGCAAAATGATAATTACTTATTTTTAACTAATTTCAACATTATTCCACTACAGAGTTGATTTTTCACTATGTATAATCGCAAGAGATCTGTTCAAAATCGGTTTTTCGTTAACCAGCTGTCGCACCCCTACGAATGAAAACCCTCGGAAGTCAAAACTTGTGCGAGCTAAGGACTAACGAAGTCTTACCTTTTAACGAGTGATTCCTAATACAGGTTGGACGATAACAAGTGAAAATCAATCGTTCAGCCTGGGGCTTGAACCAGCGACCAACATCTGTTTTGTCTGTGAAGTGTACAGTATTTTATTCCTGTATGAATACAATTTGAAACATTGACGAAAAGTTAATTTGTTCATCTCTGATTGTGTAGATGAGTAACCCAACTAACATTACAGTTCATAAGACAGTCTGAGCTTGTTAACATTGAAGAAAATCTTTACACATATATGAATGGTTATTATCAGAGAAAAATGGTTAAATGCCAATTGTCTTTTGAAATCCTTAGGGTTTCCTCTTTACATGCTTTCAATTTTTTCTGTAAATTCACATCTAAGTGTTGACTGACATATTTTTTTTTTTTATTATCAGAGCATGCGTTTGAAAATAATAAGTGCTCCTGGAGTGTCAGAAAGAAGATTTGGCTCGTGGACTGGTGGATCGATTCTAAGCTCTTTGGGATCATTTCAACAGCTTTGGGTGTCAAAACAAGAATATGAAGAAACAGGTAAAGTGATAGTCCAATCTAAATGTTTGTAAAAAAGGATCTCCTTAGTTTTTAAGTAATGGCTGTTGTTTTTTGAGCTGTCTATATTGGAACACGTATAAATAATTTTACTTTACTTCATTGTCCAATGAAGGTTTCAGAACATAGTTTCAAGTTGTGCAGGAATTGTATAACTTGGTGAAATGAAATGTCATGGTTAGTAATAGCAGATGAGTAGTTAATTTCTCAGTACTATTCTTACATTCCAGTTTTTGAACGTGTCTGACCTCCAACCAATCACACACGTTAGTTTGTCTTGCTTCAATTAGTACCAAGTCAGGTGCTTCTTACAGTATTGAATAAAGTTTTTGATATCAACATGTTCTTGAAACAAACATTGTTTGTAGATTCCGGTTGAAATTATTTTAAAACAATGATATTATCTCTTATTGAAGTTGACAACTTATCAAGAGGTCATCAATAAAAAATAATAAATGGTTTCTACGATATTTAGAAGCATTACATATAATTTTTCATTCTTTCTGGCCGAGTTTAGTAATAATAACAATAATTAACAATATGTATGAGGGGGTGATGACATAAATATGTCGTACAATGAATACTAAAAATTTTAGTACATCTGATACCTTTTTACTAGATAATTTAGTTAAAATTCTTTTACGAACAACAACCCTTGAAAGTGTAAACTTATACGGGCTAAGGAGGTCTCACATTTTGCCTTGCGACTCCTAACATTGATGATACAGTTGGCAGATCAACCAAAGTCCGTCTGTCATTTTCAGAAAGAGTTCATCTCTTCCACTATGGCTTTTCTGTAAGTAGAATGAAATTTCTAGCAAGGGGAATTGTGACTTTATTTTAACTTACGTTTGAATAATTTCAGGAACTCACTTTATTCTGAGATTTTCACTGGATACTTTACAAAACTGCAACACGTGTTTCGCTTTACAATAGTTTCCTCGAACGTTCCCATACTAATGTATGAAAATATGGATTTTCATCAAGTTTCGGACAATTCCATCACAAATCTATATCCATTGTATATATTTAATTTAATACCTTATCATTCTGGTTTTCTGGTGCTGTACACTGGCGATCTGTTTGCAGCTTCTGTAGTTGATGTTATGACCTCAAGCTGGTGTTTGTATAGGGCAGAGGTTTTTTGTTTATTGCGAAGTGTCAGTTTGTGTTTCTCTAATCTGACTGATATTCGCCTATTTATTTGGCCGACGTTCTTCCTGCTGCAATCTCCACATGCGATTTTATATGTCTTGTTTTTTTAGGTTTACAATAAAAATTACCATTTGAATATATACAAATATATTTGACTCATCTTTGAATATAGAAACCATAATAGCATTTCTCTAATAACAGGGCTTTTGCTTCATTTTGAAATCACCATTGTAATGTGGAGATTTTTCATAGTTAAAGTCATTCTATGTTCAGAAATTCTCAGTAAGTTACCATGTCTGGTATATATTCAGCTATATCTGTCTAACAAGAATATATCAAAGAATGCATCGTGAGAATTTTCAATTTAGCTTGAAAAATGGTTGACAGCTGTCTCAAATTCAAATTGAGAATCAGCCTTATTAAACGCTTTTGAAGAACTGGTGTTTTTTAAGGGTTTCCTTGTTTTGACAAAGATCAACAAATCCTCTGAAATTCGTATCCCTCGTAGAGAGTCATTCTAGGTTAAGTCCATATCTTCCAAGTAAATAATTCAGAGTAGGTATCAGTTCTATAACTATTGTTTTGATGGGTTTTCTTCAAGGATAATGTTTAACACAGTACTTACGAGTGATTTCAAGACACTGGAAATATATTTGTTATATTTAGACCAGAATTGACAAAGACCTTTCAAAATTTGACATTATTGTTGAGAAGCTTGTATCAACATTTCATTTCACCAAAACAATAACAACATAACTGATTTACGGTTGTGAGAAGTAAAACTGGTCCTATTTTTTATAGGGACAAATATTCATTCAGTTTTAAGAATGTTGTCTTGTGACCCTATTGTATTTACTAATGGTGAATAATAACGATTACTGTATTTATTGATAATTGGAGAACTATTTGATGCTGGATGTTTTAAGTTTGCTTTAATTGAATTGGGATAAAATGTCTTCATGAAGCGTGTTTGTGCAATAGTTTTTATCAATATTTTATTTATGAATGATTTATTTTAATTTATGTATTTTCCTTAAATATAGATTTGTTTTGTATCTTGTTTTCATAATGTGACTTTCATTCATATTGTAGTGTTAATTAACAGTATTATTTTCTTGTGTCCTATTCTTTAACAGGTTTTATAAACTAGAATAAGTTCTCATGGAAGCTTTGCTATGACAAATATACTTAATTGATTTGATAAAACGTTCTCATTCTGAAATGAAGAATGGAGAATTTAATTGTGCACTTTATTCGCCGTTGATAATGTAAAATTACAGTTTGGTCCTCTCACCAAACTACCCTATTTTATGTTATTTGTGAATTGTAAGTCTGTCATTATAGTTGAGGTGGTCTGATGAGAGTGTGTTACTATAATTTGTCGAGCTTATAGTAGCACAGGCGACCAAATTGTAATTGAATGGGATAAAATAGTTTTATCACTTCAGATCGATGTTTAAGGGAAAACTCAGTCCTCCCATTAATACACTGTGTTTTTAAAATCCATGAAATTATATAGTTAGGAAAAAAGTATGCCGTTTATAGGTCATTAGTGATTATGCTAGTCATATGAGGAAAATAACTCTCTAAAATTATACTGTGATTTATTATTTCGATTGAAAACTAATAAAACAATTTTAAAATGATTATTTAGATTAAACACTTCTTTCTAGTATGAATTTACTACATACATTTACTTGATATACGTACATACAGCACAATATATTTTTCAATACAATTCTAGTAATAGTAACATGATGACGTAATACTCTTTGAAATTAGATTTCCATTTAGTGTTCAAGGCATAGTTAAAGTCTGATTTTGTTTCAATAATAAATATTTCATTTACTGGACTGAATGTGATTATCTACACTTAATGTGCCAATAAACCTATAAGTAATTTGAAAGACTTTGATTGTTCATTGTGGATCCTTTTCTATGCCAAATCAATTCCGTTTCTATAACTTCCACAATTTTTAGGTTATGTGAAATAGTTGGCCATTTTTCGCTTGATTATGGGTTTCCATATGTTGTGTATCTCTACGCTAGCTTGGCTGAATACATTGTTGGATAACATGTATGCGGCTTCTTTGAAATTCCTCCTAAACCAATGTTTCTCTTTGTGTATGATCTCAGCTTGGGACCATTCGATGTTATGTTGATGGGTCCAAACGTGCTCTGCTATTCCTGATTTGCTGGTTTCACCTCGCTGTGTGTGTTTCTTGTGCTTGGCAATGCGAACATTCAATGGCCTCTTAGTTTCACCAATATAGTATTTTCCGCACTCACAGGGTATCCGGTAAATGCAATTCTTGGATTCGCAGTTCTCGTTTGGTGGCCTGGTTTTCGTGAGGCTGCTATGGATAGTGTTTCCGGATCTGAAGCAGGTTCTGATGTACTTGGATCCAATTCTCCGTATCTTTTCCGATAATCCTCTGATGTAGGGAAGTGCAAGCACTGGTTGTGACTGCTTTTCTTCCTTTCGAGGCTCCTGCTGTTTTTTAGTCAAAGTCTGTTCCACCATCGCTTTGGAGTTGCCATTTTGTTGAAGATCATTTTTGATGATGTCTAGTTTCTTCTCGAGACCTTCTTTCGTATTACAAAGTCCGAAAGCACAGTCTTAGTTTTGATTATTCCTCTTTTAGTCGATTGATGGTGGTTGGATTCGTGATTCAGATACTGTCCCGTGTGAGTGGGTTTTCGGTATGCAGATGTTTCCCACTTAGTGTCGGTCCTCTTCACCAATATGTCCAAGAATGGCAATTCGTTGTGGGCTTCCTTCTCCATTGTGAACGTGATGGAAGGTCGTATGCTGTTGATGTGTTACAAGAAGGCGTCTAGTTCAGTATTCCCATGGTTCCATATTATGAAGGTGTCATCAATGTATCTCAACCAGACACGAGGATTCTTGTGGGCTTCTTCAATGGCCAGAGTTTCAAACCACTCCATATATATGTTGGCTATGACTGGTGAAAGTGGCGATCTCATTGGCAGTCCTTCATCTTGTGTAAAGAATTCGTCCTTCAGTTGGAAGTAACAGTTTCATACACAGCATCGTAATAATTCCATAATTACTTTCATAGGTAGATTTGTTCTCTCTTTCAGGTTCTCGTCTTCTGAGCGGAACGTCCTTATGGATTTTGGGTAGTCCATACAAGTGAGGGGACTTACTGTGGTGCGGTGTTAGCGATGATCTCTCCTTGTACGAAAAATAGACTAGTGCTTTTTCAAAATCTGGTACAACTTCCTTTCAATTGATACAGTAGGGTTCCGTACGATCTTCGTGTATTGTGCCTTCTTAAGAACCTCTTCGATCTTCTGATCATAGAGAACAGTATCCATCACCACAGTAGCGTTTCCTTTATCTGCAGGTATGATCTTGATGGTGTAGTCTCTACGTAAGCCGTTCAGAGCTCTACGTTCTTCATTGCTGATGTCAGATGTTGGAACTGGTTGTCGATCCAGCTGTTCTCTGATTTTTCCATCTAAATTCTTCCCCCTCGGTCTGGTCAATGAGGGAACTGGTGGATTCCACTGCAGTGATTATCTCCAAAGTGGGCACAGACGTTGGCGCAATGGCGAAGTTCAGGCCTTTCCTCATGTTGATGACGTTGGCGGTTTCATAGTTGTCCTGTTTTTTGTCTGCATTTGGGCATTGTTTCCTCACTAACTTTCCCCACTTTCTGTTGTGGGTATTCTCCATGTCTTGGCGGATCTTCAAGCACGTGCTTTCAATCTTGGCAAAGATTGGTCCATGATCATCTTCCAATGTCTCTCTTCTTATTTCTCCGAATCGTTCCGTGGCATCCTGCAACAAAGTTGATTTCTTCCAACGGTGATAATTAATTTGAGACCTTATCAGTGCTCGACTGGCGCGTTCCAATATGCGTTTGGCTCTCTTTCCTGTGATTGGCGATTTCAGCAGAAAACCTTAGAACTAGTTTTTGCTTGAAACATCTGATCAGAAACTTTTTGACAAAATTATTACATTTTTTTTATTTGACATAAACGACAACCCCATTTTTTAAACTGAAATACAAAAATTGAATTTCATAACGAATGTTTGGAATACAAACTGAGTAGAGAATAGTGTCTTCTGTATAATTCAGTGTTCATATAAAAGTATTTGTTTCGAATCTTTTTTTCTAATATCTAATGAATATATTATCAGTGTCTCAATTTTTGTTTAACTGGTAAAAAAAGCTCCATTAGTCCATTAATATTAGAAACAAATCGATTTGCAATCATTGGTGTTATAACATACTCACTTGAAAAAATGTCATATACCAAGTTTGTTTGATATGGAATAGGTTAACAGACGATCTTGAAAGGAACACACCAATTTGGTAGGTAACTTGGAACCATCGATATTGAACTTGAGTTTCAGAGTGAGTAGAATCTTTAAAACGGATTAGCTCAAACTAAAAAATAGTAAATTCCAATGAAATTTTTAATGAAAAGTAACTAAAATTGGTCACAAAATAAACACATTCTCACCATTCCCTGGTTGATAAAATATTCGAAAACATATACCAGGCAGAATGGAATTATATATTTCATTAATCCAGGTATGAGAAATAGTTTCTTTTTTAATGCTTCTTTGGGATTTTCCAACTCCTCTGCATTCACATCTTTCTGAACTTCCAGGGCATGAGCAATATCTGATACAGATGGTCTCGGCAAAATAATCCAAAATCTAGAATGAAATCAGAAGTCCTTAACATGTCAATGGGTGCAAAAACCATTGTTAAAGGCGAAACTTAAAAAAAATTGTCAATATCAAACAAGAATAGACAAGCAAAACACCTTTGAGTGGTCCTACGTTTCAAGTCTTTAACACTTCCCAAGGTAAAGTATCGATTCTTATTCATGGTGTTCTATGTGAAGGAAACGGTCGATTCTTGATTACTATCCATAACGTAATTGAGAAACACTCTATTGTGAGATTTTCACTGCATAGTTTTAAAAAAACACAACACACGCTTCTCGAGGCGTGTCTATACGCATATACACGCCTGAAGAAGCACGTGTTGCGTTTTTGTAAAAATATGTGGTGAAAAATTCACAATAAAGTGTTTCTTGAATATTCTTTGGTCTTCTGTTATGAACTGCGCTACCAGAGGCGATATTTTAACTTTTTTTGGAGGATGAATTATGTGACAAGATCGCAGATATTTGTTTCTTTACCCAATTGTAGTAAGCTTTCAATCGTAGTTACCTTTTTGGTCACATGAAACATTTATAGGTATATGAAAAATGTAGTATCTGTTTGAGAAAAATGGATCCAGATTACTTGAGGCTATCAAACTATGTTGTAATACAAAAGAAAACAAATTTGTCAACAAAATTTACATCACTAATTGAATGGACAAGACAGACAAGTCACACCCAATTGCAGGACTGGCTGCTAGACTGAAATCACGGATCAATGAAAGTTTACATCTATCCGTTCCTAGTGGTTCAAAGAAACTTAAATTATTCAATTCATATAACTAGTAGTCCAAGCTCACATTTTCAATTTGTTTGAATGTCCCACCCAGCTTATTCAGTTTTCTTGGCGGTATTATGACAATCTATCTTAAATTATATATACTTACGAAATTCCCATAAATACAGGAACGATCAACATGATCAGTAGTGCCGTTCTCATATTTATGGTTTGTAAAATTAAGTAAGACAGTGCTCCTATTACTCCTGCTCCTCCAGTTCCAGAACTCCACGTAGAAACTACATCTCTGAAATTGAAACATGATTGAGATGTATGTTTAGAGAATTCTTTATTATGATGCGGATAGTATTACACTTAATTGTTGATTAAAATAATAACTACAACTTCAGAAGAACCTTCAATTGAAATTCATTATTAACTACAAATTCATACTACTGAATATTTGACGCATTTTGTGACTAGAGATTTTTTGATTTTGAGGATCATCTTTTAGTGCATATTTTCTTACTTGTCATAAAAGCTGCTATATTGGAGATACGTTACTTCCCCCAATCCAGAGCAAAAAGATGTGAGAACGACTCCTAGAATTGATAAAAATAGTGTCTTGCTGAATGCCACACACAGAAATCCTGAGCAGGCTAGTATCACACAAGCCGCTATTCGTAAACTGAAAACAAGAATTAAACAAAATTAGTGTAAGGTGAGCAAAGTAAAGAAGAGCTCATTGACAAACCTTATATGACTGAAGGAAATTGATAACCGATAATTGCATTTCAGGTTCCAGTGGCAGAGTTTGAGAAGAACTTTTTTTTAAATAAAATCTGTGTATATTGATCGATTTTGGGATTTTTCACCAATTATTCTCCAGCCATTGCTTATTCTAAATAAAAAAAACACTACTTACTGTACAAAAAATGGCAAAAAAGGCGCAAGTATCTTAATTGTCAAACCAGGTAAAATATCAGCCAGTAAAATAGCGCCAGTAGATAGATAAGTACAGTCTCTTGCTCCTGTTTTTTTCTAAAAAAAAAAAAGTTTAATGAACTTCAAATACCAAGTTAATCGAAAATTATCTACCTCGATTCGAAGTAAAAAAGACTAGTCTATCTCAAAAATTGCTGGTATTCAGATTTTGAAAAAAGAGTGCAGTTTTGATTAAGTGGTGAAATTACGTCTAGAATGGGTTCGGCTCGCACATGCGACACACGATTCGGTGGTTACAACAAAATAAATAAACCCAATTAATATGAATATCAGGGAATGAAAAATATATCACATGTTTCGCTAACACAGTACCTATCTTCTTCAACAGTGATTTGCAGTTTTTATTGCAATTTTCCGCTCAATTATATTTTGTTGTACAAACATTTTCTTAAAGTTGAGGATATACATAAAAACGTCGATAATTTTTAAATTGAAACCTGAATTATTTTTTTGAGCTATTGTTTGAAAGACTTTGGGAAATATACTCGCTGGAGAAATTAATAAAATCAACTTTCAATTCATTTATGAATTGGAAAATTGAATACCAAAAGCACTGAAATTTTTTTGTGGCTTTTCTAGATGGAGCGCATCCAAAACATTCAATTTTCCGTGACTCTGGCCACCGTATAAGTAAACACTTCTTACTTCTATATGGTGCTCTGGTGCTTAAATCAGGCTGAATTTGACCGATGGCATGGGTTATGTTGGCATTGAGGACCGCTGTGGGTTGTGGTTTATTCGCATACATCTGCGACTTGAAAAAATCCCATAAGGAAAAGTCTAACGGGGTCAAATCGCAGGATCTCGGTGGCCAGTTCAAATCACCTCCACGTGAGATGACCATGCCCTCGTGCAGACTATCCAATGTGGCAAGAGCTGTGTGTCCTGTTGAACCCACATGTCATTGGTGTCCAGATCATCCAATTCAGGCCGAAAGAAGTTGATAATCATCGACCTATAGTGCTAGCCGTTTACATTATTGGCTGGCCAACGTCGTTCAAAAAGAAATATGTATCGATGACGGCGACAGCCCAAAATTCACACAAAACAGTGACTTTTTCGGGATGCATTGGAGGCTTTTGGGTCTCATGTGGATTGGTGTCGTCCCAAGTTCGACAATTTTGTTTGTTCCCTAACCCATTCATCTAGAAATGGGCCTCATCGCTGAAGATGATTTTTTAATAAACATTAGGGTCAGTTGCCAACTGCTCCAGAGCCCATTCAGCGAATACACGTCGTTTTCTATGGTCGTTTACCTTAGTTCCTGGGCAGTTGAATTTTGTACGGGTGCAGGCTCACATTGTTCTCCTCTCGGTACGTTGCCCGAACAGAACACCCTCTTAGATTATACATTTTATTATTTTCACGTGTTGTTGAATGCTATATCCGTCCATGGTGATTTGGCAAAACAGGCTGAATAGATGACTACTAATTTGACAGATGTAGCTTCAACAAGATGGCCGTTATCAATTGTCAAAGTTCGGATGTTCCTTTTGGAAGACCCTATATAAGTTTCACTCATAGGTCTTATTGGTCTTCATCTCCTGAAGACGTGAACTTGGTTGATGAAACATGTATCGAGAAGTCGTTTGGAAGTCCCTGTTGGAAAACCCTATAATTACATCTACTCCTGAGGATTGATTGAATTTCAAATATTGCACGCTATGTTCAATTTCCTTATTGGTTATTAGTAATACAAAATCGAGAGTGAATACGATTCCTACCGGGTTTTCATGAAGTAGGAGTTTTCGTTTTTTATTATATGCAGGTAGGTTTTTTGTATAGCGTAAATAAGCATCAAGNAAAATTCTCTATCGATCAGTAAGTATATACTACGACACAGTAAAATAATATTTATTAAGATAACGAGCTACAAATCATGACATTAAAACAGGAAAAACTTTTGAAACAACCTAATATATATTATAAGACCAAATTATGGATAATTTGCGGTTTTGGGAAAGAAACTGGCATGAAGTAGCAAATCAAAATATCACAAGTAAAAGTGAAATAGAAAAATTATAAAATCGAAGTTAACGAACATTTTTTACTACAAACATACCATTATTCACAATGGTAAATATGACAGATTTCAAAACTCAGCAAATCAAAACATGGATAACTACACATCTGACTTGGTTTCGGAACTGATTTGTTCAAGTGCTTCCAGAAAATGTAGACAAGAAAGTTATTTCACTTCATGCAAATACAGATAATTGACTTACCCGTACATGATTTTGGATTCTATAGAAACTTGTAATGCACACTTATACTTGATATAGGAAAAAAGCGCCAATCTGCATTATCCACTGAAAATGAGATCAGTATATTTAATATATTCATAAAATGAATATACAATTTTTGTTGTTGAATTTCTATCAAATTATGTTGCATGCGAGATCTGTATATTCTTTATGAGAACCTATTTTCTATAACTTTCTATAAATTCTCAGGGATATGATGTTGAGATACTACGTTTATATTTTATAAACGTAGTTATTATACGATGTACAGGTACCATCAAAGTGTTGATGTTACGAGTGTTATGTTCATGTTGATGTTCGGTTGAAAAAGTTGCTAGGTATTTTTAATTTTGTTTTGCGTGCATCAGACACTTGAGAATATATATACAGGGAGCACTTAAAATTCCATTCTGAAACATAATTGGTCTACAACTATCCAAATAACCTATTTCAAGAGATAATCTTATAATTTTCTTTTGTATCAGAAGAACTTTCATGAGGTTTGTAGCTTTGCCCAAACAGAGAATATTTTTGGAGTATGCTAAGGCATAAATACGAGTATACCTATAGTCAACAGGTCGGTGATTGCAAAGTAAGATCTGTTAAGTTTTTTACCGACACTGCCCAGGAGGTCTTCTCAGGTGAGCTGACAATCTATCTGCGATACCAAAAATTTTACTTCCCCAGATAATTTAATATCCAGTTCATTGTTTATTTCACTAGTTCGGACTTCCATTGTCTACTATATAAAATGATTTGAAATCCCTGAAACAAGTAAAAAAGAATAATTAAAAAAGAATAGTTGAAAGTAACAATTATATTAAGAATTTTTTTTGTTATTATTTTCTTTTTTCATTCCTTTAATTTTTATTTATTCAATTATTATATTTTTACTTGTAGGTTATTTCACTATCATTTCATTTCAGGTTTATTGTTGCTTAATATAATTGTTATTTTCAACTATTCTTTTTTAATTATTCTTTTTTACTTGTTTCAGGGATTTCAAATCATTTTATATAGTAGACAATGGAAGTCCGAACTAGTGAAATTCATCACGAAACATTGTCAATCACCTTCAAACAATCATTGTTTATTGTTTATCGTATTGGGAATTCGGCGTCGGAGATATACATTTATTGTGATTATTTTATCTACATTGAGTATTTATAAACTGCGTTGGGGCCAGGATCCAAATTCCTCAAAAACTCTAATTACTTTAGTTTTCAATTCGACAATATCATTGTTAGCTACTGTAATTGTAGTGTCGTCAGCATACATGGTTACGTAAGCCTTTATATTTGTAGATAGGTAGTTAAAAAATGGTGAAAAGAAGTGACCCCAGTACTGATCCCTGGGGGACTTTCTGTTTCACAGGATATTTTATGGAATTACCATTACCGTATTTCACTAACAAATCTCGTGCTGTCATGTATCCAGTTACAATATGTATTTCTGTTACCACACAAACAGGAATCATGTACACCTATATATTTTGATTTCAACATGTGAGTTATCCCTAATAAAGTTGAAAATATCATATTGTTAGTCCTGTCAATAAACTTGCCCTAGCGATATCTGGACCTGGTGAATAAATGCACTTTCCTCAATCTCAATTATTCATAAAGAGGGCCTGAAGTGTTTCGAAATTTGAAGTATTTGTTGTATTACCATCGACAATTCGTTATAACTGAAATCATTATTGATCGAATTCATCTGAATATTCAAAAGACAACCACAAGTGCGATGGCGATTCAATGTCAAATTGAGTTTTATTTGTAGACTATTTTGAAAATTTGAAAAATGAAAGTGCAAGTTGGTTGGGAGAGT